AAACACAAATCAGAGGCTCGTCCTATTATAATCAACTTCTTTGCTTTTATTGAAACCCAGTTTAAAGCATCTATTAAAACCATTCGCACAGATAATGATCTTGAGTTTCACATCCCTGCTTTTTATAACTCAAAAGGTGTTATCCATCAAACCGCCTGTGTTTACACCTCCCAATAGAATGGTATAGTCGAGAGAAAGCACCAACATATTCTAGCTGTAACTCGTGCTTTACTCTTTCAATCTTCTCTACCTTCTAAGTTCTGGCATTTTGCTGCAATGCAAGTAGTCCACCTCATTAACAGAACTCCATCAAACCTCCTTCAGAACTCTACTCCTTATGAGAAGTTACATGGTGTACCACCAAATCTTACCCATCTTCAGATCTTTGGCTGTCTTACTTATGTAGCAACCATTCAAGCCACAAGAAATAAGCTTGATCCTAGGGCACAACCATGTGTTTTCCTGGGCCATCCCCATGGAACAAAGGGTTTTAGATTATATAGCCTGACAACTCATAGCATTTTCATATCAAGAGATGTTTTATTCCATAAAACAACCTGTTTCTTTTTTTCTTTCTTCTATAGAATCTCCTTTCTTTAAACATTAAAGGTATCTAAATAAGCCGCAAGTAATAATAATAATACACTTAATCATCTAATTTATGTGAAAATAAATATAAAATATGTAAAGAAAAATAATATAATTTTTTGATAAAATACATATTCATATGTACCATGAAATGAGTTTGGATGGTTAGTGACAAAACCATGTTCACTCATTACCTGCATATTCGGATTCAGATTTTATCCGTACCCAGCGAAAATTCTTTGGGGTCAAGTCTTATCCTACCTGACTAAGTCAAATTAGGGTGGTATCCATGTTTGTGGATATTTTTACGCCCAATCAAGACTTTGATTTATTTTGGAAATACTGAAGATTGTGATGGAGAAGTCGATAAAGAGATGGGTATTAAATATATTTCTATTTATTTATTGAAACTCTTTAATGGTATCGAAAAATTGAGGACTTAATATGTAATTATTTTTAATTTTTATGTAATTTGTTCATTAAAAAGTATGTTTAATCTTGCACGAAAAAGTTAGTTTCACATATGTGAGAATTGTTGTTCACTTAAATTGATTCAATTGTAAAACAGTACCGGATTGTACCCACAAAAGTACGTGATAGGATATTTTGTGTTAAATCATTTTTCAACAGTTTCATGCTACTAAAACTCCCTACTGGCTTGAGCTCCGATAGGCTATTTTACTGGTCAGGCCGTCGGTACAATTTTTTTTGCAAATAACGATTAAATTTTAAAATATGGTAATCAGACCAACATTTTTTTATATCATAGAAATCATTACTAAATATTCAGGTAAAGTCTAAAAAATTCTCAATTAAATAGGGTTTACCCGGCAAAAATGGTAGTTTCCTTTTGTTTAGGTTTTGCTTTCCAATGTTCAGAAGAAGAAAAAAAACATAATGGTTGCTAAACGGACCCCTTTCCCTATTACCGAGTTTCATCATCCCCGTTCTCTTGACCCATAAGTCCATTCATTTACTCTTCCCCTTTCATTCCATCGAATTTGAGTCTCCTGATGATATCTACCTTCTTCATAAACCCAATAACCAGAGTTCGTAAGTGGGCTAGAGAAGACTACCATGATACAAAATATCTCTACCATAGTCTCTAGGAATGCACGTTCTTTAGTCATTCGGTCAAAATCGTCTTTCTATCTCCTAGATTCATTCGGCTTTTTAGGTGAGCCTAATCGCAAGAACATGTGTATTTTCCTTTTAGCTCTATAGGTTAATTATATCATAGTTCAAAATGAATTTTGAGGGCTAGGCATGTAACTATTAAATTTGGAGATGAATCTTTGGTAGTCGGAGGAGTCTAACTCCTTGACCTGTTGTGGGAAGGATTACAACATTTTTTGTGAATATGTTATTAAGCTTATTTCTTGGAAGAGATTTCAAAATCTGTCTTTTTTCAGTTACCGAGGGATCGTAAGATTTTGGTGATATTTAGCTTTCAATTTATTGGAGTGCTTGATTTATGCTCCTAATCTCTTCTGTGCTTTTTAAGTGAATTTGAAACCTATGAGGCTCAATATCAAAATTGGGACTAGCAATTTAGGTCATTCATTTGTGACTATCGATCCCCAACATGCCCTTTCAAATCATACAATTTCATATCTATAAACCGTGTCATGATCAACAAAGATGATATATACTCGAAAATATTTTCATAGATATAATGGACTATATCAAAATCATCATAAATATATTTTTTAGACATATTGTGTATCTTTGCTATTTACACACATTATAAATGCAGCAACACATACAAAAACATAATAATCAAACTCATCCGGCCAACTGGCCGGGCCTGGTGCTAGTTATTACCAAATATCCAAACGTAGCTCCAAGTTCAAACATTTCATTTAATTCTTTATAAGTAATCAATATGACATATCTGTATAATATTATACATGTATTCACAACAATATATTTATTTAACAACCTGTTTACCCATAAAAATTCAATCATAATATCCAAACCATCCTGTCGCTTTTGTTTTTCTGGATTGTTCTGTTGGAGGTTCCGGGGGAGGTGGTTCATTGCTTGTGAACCCCAGCCCTGCTTTTCTGGACTCTTCTTCCTTTTTAATGCAAATTTCGCCATTATAAAAAAAAAACAATGTCCAAACCACCCTAAATCAAGTTTTAGGTGTTAAAAAGGATATTTTCCCACGTTCAGATTTTCCTCAACCTTACAAGCAAAATGTAAAATTTCGAAACAACTCACTCTAGCGCACCTCCAGCTTCTATTCTATTTTCAAAATTACTGCAACTCGACAGAAATTTTGGTCACGAGTTCTTTGTGTTGTTCAGGCGTGTTCCACTAGCTTAGGGATGGTCATCACTAAGTTCGTCAGTTCTCCATATAGACACGGAGCTAACACGCACGATCTACAACACATCTCCATTATCTTGTCCGTCATATTCTGATGTTTGTTTATTGGGGAAATTAGTTTTCTTAATATTTATCTATCTATATCGATAGTTCGATACTTGTATCGACGTTGATGGTTTTACTGTGCACTTCTGTTGAAGGAAGCTCGGTCAATGGCCTTGATCAAGCAAATTCAAACGGCACAATTGGTGGATTTGGAAAGAAATCAAGTGTGATGCATTACCATTTGTATCTTGAGTCAAAGATAGAAGGTTTCTAAAAGAGACATTGAGGAAAGCATAAGTATAAAGAGGAGCGGATCATGAACCAGCAGTTTAACCTTTTCAATCGAGCAAGAAGAGAAGAGCTGAGAATTAGCTAGAGTTATTGTTGTGAAAAGAGAGCATATCAGAGTGATTGCTTAGCGGATTAGGTTGTTGTCCTTTAGTCTTGAGTGATAGTTCAATCTAGTTAGAGTGATCTACCAGTAGAAGGCTGAGAGTTCTCTGTTCGGATTTGTAACAGGAAACTTGAGCAACTGAGTAATTGGTTATAAGTTGAAGATCTCAAGAAGAGATTCTTCAACCGTGGATTAGTCAGTACAGGGATCCTTATTCTCCCTGTACTGGATACCACGTAAAAATCCCCTGTGTCACTTCTTTACATTTGTTTTTCGCTTTAACTGATAATCTGTCTGTGTGTTTCTTGAGGTCTGTTTGAAACAGGGGAGGTGGTTCTGAATTGAAGAACAGGAGAAGAAGAAGCTTACTTCATCGCTTCTGTTCTTGGCTGGGTTAAGGGCTTTAAGCTAAGGGCTTATAAACCATCTCACTGGGCCGAGATTTAAAAACAAAACAGACAGGCCCACTATTAATTTACTTCACTAGTCTTAAACTGAATACTGTCTCATCTTCCTCATTTCATTCGCATATATGTTTCAATCTACCATCACCACCTCTGTGTTAGGGTTTTGATTTTTCAGAAAGGAAATCGAAGGAAATCGTCGTTGGTCTCGCGCTCGACCTCGTTTAACAACTTCTACAAAATAGTGTAGAAATACCCCTATATCCACTCCATATACTGCATAATATAACTGGAAAGCTTTTGCTATAGGTAGGGCGCGCATGTGAAACTATATCTAATGGGTAATTAGTGAAAAATATTTTAGACTTGAACTATCATACAAAAATTCATTGTTTTGTAGTACTATACAATTAGATCTAATATAATGGTTGTATTTTGAGAAGGTGATATCTAATGGTCACTAGGATGAAGGGATAGAGATGGGGAGGTTTGCCCGGATATGTTGTCGTTGTCCAAATTTTGGGCAGGCTGGCACGGATAGACAGTAGACACTTTTTCATGTCATATCATATCGTTTAATATCAAATTCATGTCATTCATATCAAGATCGTATCAGTCTTATGTCGTTCATATCAATATCATATGATTAGTTCATACCAAGTTCTGGCATATGGTTTGTGGTATGCTTCGTGATATACTTGTAGTGAGGTGCGAGATGCGAGAGTAATGCACAATACGCGTGCACATGTGTCTTCCTCCAATTTTTAATAATAACAAACATGTTCTATCATTTTATAAATTCGCATTAATTATGATAAGGAGAAGCATCTGCCCCTAAACGCATATGTTAGTGCCTTCCTTTTATTTGTGTCCGTACATGTTATATAACAATATTAAACAAAGGGCAGCCACTAGGTTGCGTGGCGTCACTTTCTGTTGTACATGACTGCCCTTTGTCCTATCTCATCTGGTCTGTGGAGGAAGAAGCATACCAGCCAAAAGATGACGCGAGTGGGATATCACTGCACACTCCTTTGCCACTTCCACTAACTTCCCCAGCATTAACTTAAATCTCTTATTTCATAAAGAAAAGAAAGCTTAATTATACGTTTTTGTTCGCACCCATAATTGCCCTGATACCTATAAATATGGACATGTCTCCATCCTGGATCGCCAATCATCCATGGAAGGGCCGGGGTCGAGCTAATTAAAGAGAAGCAATATCTCCCCTCCCCGGCAAAGCCAATCTCACAAGAATTAGAAAAGAAGCATTAATTCTATAGAGCTACGTACCGTACATAAAGTATGGAGTCAAGCGTAGTAATAGACATCAACGTAAAACAAAGTGGCGTCGTTGCAACTGAGACAGCAGCCAAGAAGTCAGCCGGCGTTGCGTCAGTTTCACTTTGGTTTCTGAAGGATGATGGATTCCAAGGCAGCGGGAAGAGCGCCGGAAACAATGGCGGCGGGGAGAGGATGAAGGTGATGAGGAAATGGATCCACAGTATCAAAGTTGGAGCGGCGCTTGTGTTGGTATCTCTACTCTACTTCCTGGACCCGCTGTACAAGGAAGTTGGTGACGATAACGCCATTTGGGCTATCATGACGGTTGTTGTCATCTTTGAGTTTCATGCTGGTATGTACGTATGTTTTTATTTATTTATTTTTTGTCCTACCATTTACTGTTATGAGAATTACTAGACGTCGTTGCATATTGATATCGCTAGAAATTAAAAATGTCTATACATCCATCCATAAAATGGAATGATATAATTATTAATTTCGTTTAATATATAGTATCATCATATATATATTGACGCCCTTATTATATATAATGAGGTGTGATTATCGTGTAATTGCGAGCAGGGGCGACACTTAGCAAAGGGATGAATCGGGTGATTGGAACGGTAGTGGGAGGTGGGTTGGGATGTTTGGTGGCAACTACGGGCCAGAAACTTGGTGGGATTGGCAACTCTGTTATCGTCGGCCTCGCTGTGTTTTCCGTGGGTAAGAAAAGATTCATCATCCCCAGTCCCACCATCATCATCAATTAACTTTTACTTAAGTCTGCCACGTACTTAGCAAGCAACACAACCACACCATTCCACCATAGATTTCTTTTTTTTACATCCGAGTTTAAAATATTTTTGCTATTAGTGACATTTCAGGAAATAAAAACACTTCATTATTGAAGTGACGTGACTAACTTACAAGAAGAGCTAATCCCAACACCATTAGTTACTTTTTACATGATGGTATTTGTATTTTCATCAAATAAAAAGGAAGAAAATTAGGTTCTTGGTACGGCAGGTCAGTGCGGCACTTAAAGAGTGTACAGTACATGACGTCGCATCCGATGAAATAAATAAACATATAAATAAAATTGTGAATTTAAATGCGGCAGTGCTGATTATGTGTTGCAGCTGGAGGGGCGACATACTTCCGGCAGACGCAGACGAGGAAAGTGTTGGACTACGGGGTGAATATTTTCACCCTCACATTCAGCCTGGTGGCGGTTTCGGGCCTCCGAATCGAGAACGTGATGGAAATAGCGAGGGAGAGGCTGCTGATGATCTTGCTGGGATTCATGACCTGCATCTTCACCAGCTTGTTCGTCTTCCCCATATGGGCCAGCGACGAGCTTCACTCTTCCTTGTCCTCCAGATTCCATCAACTCTCCACTTCCTTCCAAGGTGACCAAAATCGACTTAATTAATTAATTAATTAATATTATCACTATCGATCTCCTGCAACGTATATATATATATATAATTGGTGATTATATATTTTGGTGCAGGGTCCGTGGAGGAATACTTCAAAAGTAGTAGTGATGGCAACATGGAGGAGGAGGAGGAGAAGGACGAGCCATCCTCAATCCCCCAGCAGCCAGCTGTTGATGACTATTTCAGGACTTGTGAGAAGGTGTTGCAGTCCAAATCCAAAGATGAATCCTTGGTAAGTTTACATATAAACTCACAATACGAAGATCCGAAATACAAGCTTGAGTTTATTCATCGCATCCTTTACCCTAAAGTTGGTGCAATCTTGATCAAGAAACACACTTACTTTTAATTGGGGCAGACATACCACTTAAGTTTGAATAGGGCGTCGGGTACCATTAAAGTCACAAAAATGTGCATCCGTCTGGTTTTCCATCCAATCCAAAAATAATTTGGAACCGTTACAAAAAAGTGCAAGTAACAATGTAGCAAGGTTGTTAAATGGGATTAAATCGTTGGGTCGATAAACAAATGATTTGAGATTTATTGGTCATATTGAAGTTTAATCGGATTAAGCCGCTTTTACATAATATAATTTTTTATGCATCGAACGCTTTTTCCATTTTATCAAAAGAAAGGGGTGTTGGAAACATCCTTTCCAAATAGGCAAAACCCAGTTATCACTGGTATTACATCAGCAATAAAAATATCAACCTATTCTTATCTTATACACCTCAAGTCAAAACAACTATATCAATAACATGTTTCTATAGAGATCCAGAATTTGACAGCTTCCTCTTCCTGCACCAAAACCCGAACTTCACTTCTGATTACCTTCCCCAGACCTTCCACACTTTTGCTGGTTCCTTCAAATGATCTAATGCATCTCTCCCTCCAGATATGGCTAATCATGGATTGCCAAATGAGTCTCCCATGCCCTGCATCCACACTCTTTTTTCCTAAAGTGCCGAGTAGCCCACTACAATGAGCCTCCCAGTCACTTGGTAAATACCTAGAAACCCCCAAACAGCACCAGAAAGATCTGCCTATAATACTCACACTGAGTAAATATATAGTCCCTAGTCCCTACTCTCTGGCACCTGGTTACACAGAACACAGATGTCAGAGCCAGAGAAGCCCCGTTTTTTCATTTTATCCTTTGTTTGGATCCTATTTTTGATAATAAGCTAGACTAAGAATCGATTTCTTGGAATTGAAGGAGTCTTAACCAAGCCAGCCCATGAGACTATGCTCAGTTTAGGTCTAAGTGTTTCCCATATCATTTTCACAGAGTACCTTGGCATCATAATATTATTCCAATAAACCTGGCCATCATTTAAGCTAAAAGAGTTAGGAATTTTACCTCAAAGCTTCAATAGCTTTTTCCAATTCCAAGATCCATCAATGTTAATCTCCTAGAAACTCCTCCCTTTTAACTTATATGCATTGATCTAGGCAACCCATAACGACCCTTGCTTTAATATAATCACACAGATTTGACGACATATGCATGCATTATTCCAAGCAAACATGTCCCTCAACCCTAGTCCACCTTCCTTCTTAGGGTAAGTAAGATATTTCCAAGCAATTTTTGCTTTTAATCTTGGTCCATCCCCCACATCACAAAGATAGTTGCTACATATCTTCTCAACCTCCCTCAGGACAGTTCTTGGGAGTGTAAAGACACTCATCCAATACTGAGTAATACTATAAAGCACAGAATTAACCAGTTCCACCTTTCTTGCATAAGTGAGTGATTTAGCCTTCCAACATTGTATACGAGCAGTGAGTCTATCAATTAATGGCTTACACACAACCACAGTCAACTTGCCTGCAATCAACGACACAACAAGATATCGAACATGAAAATTTTCCAGTTTATAGCCAAATCTATCTGCCCTTGCAACGATTTCATCCTTCTCCACCCCTTTAAAGAAAACCTCACACTTACTTGGATTAGATTTCAACCCACATAAACAATAGAACTCTTCAAGCACTCTTTTCACACTCTGCAATCCATGATTAGACCCATCTGAGAAAACCAATAAATCATACGAGAAGCATAAATGAGTTAATCCAATCTTCTTGCACATTGGATGATAAGGAAACTGACCCTTTCCTGCTTCTCTATTCAATAAACATGTAAACACTTCCATGGCAACCACAAACAGATATAGAGACATTGGGTCCCCATGTCTCAACCCTTGTTTTGATGGAAAATAACTAATCAAACCCCAACTGAAAGCAATACACAACATAGGCTCTTCAACACACATCTTGATCGAGTCAATAAAAGCAACTTTGATCCCCATAGCTTCAAGAACAGTAAACATGAATTGCCAGTTGACAGAATCAAAGGCTTTCATAAGATCTATATAAAATATTCTTTTTCGAATATTTAGAGACTAGTTCATGAGCTAGGAGTATATTCTCACCAATTAACGAGTTTTTTCCACTAATAGCACCTTCAAAAAAAAATTTACAAAACTAGCACACATATGAAAAAATTGACAGAAATAGCACCTATTTTTATGGAACGCACCCCTAAGATGCGTTTTACAAGTAAACCGCACCTGAAGGGTGCGTTTTACTCATAAAACGCATCACAGTGGTGCGTTCCATTTAAGAAAACGCACGAGGGGAGTGCGATCCATTGCTGCTGCGGAACGGTCTTCAAGACCGTAGGATAAAGATGCGATCGGACAGTGGAACGCATGACAGCGAAGCGATCCGCGCCAAGGAAGCCAGAACGCACGCCAGAGATGCGGTCAACCCTAGGGAAGCGCAAAACGCATCGGGAGGCAGCGGTTTCCCTTAGGGCAAAATTACTGGACCGCCCCTTGGGGGTGCGGTCTGATGGGTATAAATACCCCCCCTTCCCCTCTCAATTCTTCACACCACAACCCATTCTTCCTTCTCTCTCTACAATTTATCTCTCTAAACCCTCCCCTCCCAAAAGCCTAGGAAATAGTGGTCTGTTGGTTGCGGTTAAGTCCGATCTGCCATCAGAAAACATTTCTTAGGTTTTTTCCTCAAAACCCGCCGAGCCGAGCCGAAGCTCTGTCCGAATTACCCCAAAAAAATGGCCGATTGGTGGCAAGGAGAAGGAGTTTATGTTGATGAATTTCAAGCGGTATGTACTCATTATTCTGGTTTAATTTTTGTTGTTGTTATAAGTTTTTTAATTAATCTATGTACTCACCTCGTTGTTATTTACTCGTAGGTTGGGGAGGACGTCGATATATACAACCAACGGTATTATCTCGAGCAAGGACCGTTGGATCCAACCGACTTGTATGACCAACTCAACCATCGGTCAAGGGATGTTTGGAACGATCACCCGGTACATACAATTCTTCACCATTTGTCCTTCTTTTATTTTGTTAATGTGCCTAGTGTAATATAAAATAAATTTATGTTTATTTTTTAATCGTGTTTGTGGTTTTCAATAATTTAATCGAATACATAGCGCCACTTACTTCGACTCTTTATAAAGAGATGCACGTCTAAGGAAATGGGGTTTTAAGCGATTATCATATCCTCCCATTACCTGGGAAAATCGGGTATTAAGAGATCCTCGGATCCCCCCTTTTTCTGTCAAAAAGACTGCGTTTCTAAGAAGATGTATACCTCTTCTAAGAGTCTAACGAGTGTTGCTTTGTATTCGATTAAATTATTTAAAACAACCAATACGATTAAATTATTTACCAAACATTTGAATATGTATGTTTCTACTTAAATTATTATTCATTAACAATGTTATTTATGTTAATTAATTTAGTATGTTTGTTTTACGATAATATGTATGTACCTCTTTAAATTATTATTCATTGACAATGTTATTATGTTAATTAATTTAGGACGTTTGTTTTATGATAATATGATAATATGAAATGTCTTTTTATGATAATAAAATTCTGCTTTATGTCGCATAATTTAATTTAATTAATTTAGTTATACAAAAAAAACCCTTACTAATATATAATAATTAACGCGTAAATTTTTGCTAGGAGGCACAAACAATAATCCGCTACAGGGGTACCACCAATGTGCTCCCATTCCACCTAGCTATCTTGCCCTTTCTCAAAAGGGCACGGTTAGACTCGATTAGGCATTTTAACGGCATCAAAGTCGATCGCCAACTCATCACCGCATTAGCCGAGAGATGGAGAAAGGAGACCCATTGTTTCAACTTTAGGGAAGGAGAGGCCACCATCACGCTAAAGGATGTCGCCATCCTAACCCATCTGGCCATTGACGGCAAACCGGTGTGCGTGAGTGATCATCCCCCCGAGGATTGTGACGGTATGCCCGGTTGGCAGCATTTCATCCACAGTCATTTGGGAGTGAAAGTACCGGTGAAGGGTTGCGTTGATGCGACCGATCGCATGCCACCAATGAGGAAACACCAAGTCTCAATTACATGGTTGACGAAGTATTTTAGAGATCATTACGAGAGTCATCCCCTAACTGAGGAAAGTCCGGAGGATGAGAAGGAGAGATATGCTCGTGTCTATCTCATAGGCATGATCGGAGGAGTGTTCTTCTCCAAGAAATCAAGCAATCTCCTTAGTTGTGGATGGCTTAGGATCATCTTCAGTAGTTGGGAGGAGATGGGGGAGTATAGTTGGGCATCCGCTTGCCTAGCTATGATCTACAACAACTTGTGCAATGCGTCTCTAAAAGCTGTGAGGGAGGTCAGCGGCGCAATGTTCATCGTCCAATTTTGGGCTTGGGAGCATATGCCATGGCTTGCACCGGCCCAACGTCCAGACAGGGATTGGTCAATCGATCATCCCCTAAGAGGTGAAGCTTATGGAGCAAGGTAAACTTCTCATACCCCATCATGTAGTCATAACACATTTTCCTTTGTGTTTTATCTTATTGTAGTTTCATTATTGTCTTATTAATAAGGTGGCTCGGACACACCACATGCGACAACCTTGTCCAACAAAAGTTGGACGAGTATCGGAGGAGGTTTGAGCGACTTTGGGAAGGAGAGGTAACTTCTATACTGCGATCCATTTATATTTTTTTTTATGGGACTACATGTATTTTTCTAATTAATTAATCTTACGTTACTCATTTCTTTCTTGTAGATCGTCTTCTATCCATACCCGGAGAACATCGTTCAATGGCATCTCCAGCAATTCCCCGGTCATATCGGGCAATGGTGCACGAGGGTTCCTCTAATTTGTTTTGGGACCGTGGAGTGGCACTTGCCGGATCGATGCC